AGTGGCTCCAAACGGCCGGTACCAGGTGTCCAAGCTGTCATGGTGATGCCAAAGGCTGAATGTACTTTGCGAAGCGCCCTTGGGGATGGTGCTGGGAGGAAGACTGGGCGTTTCGTCTTTTCTTATTCGCAAAAGACCATCCGCCATTACGGGGATCCGAGAAATCTTGCGAACCGGCAAGTTTGATGACGGAAAGGACTATCAATTTATGTTCATGTAGAGTTCACAAACACATCCTAGCGTTACTTTCTGTCCACGCAGTCAAGCTACTAATTCCGACACTGTAAAGATTAATCGAGGTCCGCGGCTTAACTTAGCTTGCGTGCAAACGGAAAGATCTGCAAAAAAATACGAAGATTAATGTTGGATACCAAATATATAAATGGAGAACTGTATATCAGTTTCGAAAGCTGATATTAGGCGGAAATCAATAACATGCAAAGCAGATAATATCTGTAGTCCAGAAACCTCTGCGCACATGCTAGCAACACATTCTTAGGCAAACGGATACATTCGTGGCCACGTGCCATGGCACTGAGCGTCCGTTGTCAGAGAGCCAATCAAATTTTAGCATTTCGAATAAGTTAATCAATATAGCTGGAGGAAGTGAGCCACGCATGCAGCCTGCTGTGGAACAATCAACCTCATAGAAAATGTCCACGAGCAGCGGAGCGCCAGATGCCAACGCCGATATGTTGCTGAGGATTGAGAGAATACAGAATCACAAGAACGTACAGGGGTTGGTCCTAATAAATGCTGAGGGCAACCCCGTACGTTCGAATATGGACAATTCCACATCGCTGCAGTATACTCGTCACACTGAGGAGCTGAGAGCTATCACACAGCATGTTATTCGAGATCTTGACCCAGAGGACGATTTAATCGTTCTTCGAATTAGGACACGTCTCAACGAAATAATGGTTCTTCCAGGTAAGCTCGGAATATTTCATTTCATCTCTTAACTGCCTTAGAACTAAACAACAACAGTAATTACCTCTTTTATGGTCATATAAGGGAATCTTTCGTCACCTACTTTGATATCATTGAGCGTTTGACGGGCATAAATCGCTCCAGTCATGCTATTGGATGTCTAGTTGTTATTATTGTGGTGCTCCTGAGTATCCTCTGATCTCACTGCTAGAGGTGACAGAGCATGCTTTATACGGCTTTGAGGTCAGTGGTAAGGAAGCACCAAACAAATAAGAGGAACTTGGACAAAATCAGAATGCGCGAACATTCATATTCCAAATGCCGAACTCAGGAAGGTTGGGTAATAACGTGTACTGAGGTGGGAATCCGTCATGCCCAATTAAGCCGGTTTTATATCCTTAACAAGCGTTCTACAGTGATGTCGGCCTTGGGGAGAAGTCAGAGGCAATTGGCATACCAGGTCAACAGAACGAAAACCACAGCGTTGGAAGCGCGGACGAGGACAGCTTTCACTACATGCCTCCCCATTTCAGTTGACCACCCCAAAGCGGGTTTTTGGAGATGGAATGCCGAACAAAGTCATCCTCACTTCGACACGACACATGACTGAACTATTCTAGTTTGTGAGAGGTGCCGCATGTGGATTCCAGACCCAATTTATAGCCCCTCGTTGAAGACGTTGTTTGAGGCTCACTGAGGTCAAGTGTCGCAGACAGCATCGGCCGAATAATTTCGGGTGGTAGATACATTGTGAGTTTGGGGTCATGTCTTACATATCCGCGCAGATTATTTTTCTTGTTGGAGACCTCTTTCGAATTACTAGGGTCGACAACACGAAGGTTCCCAAAATCAGAAGTCAGGATATACGGGTTAGGTAGGGTCACTCTTGAAAGTCTTAGTCCTGAATGCTCATAGACACCTTTGTTGCTTGCAGCCAAACAGTGAATGGCGAACATTGATTGGTCGATGCGAAGACACGGGTGGCTCCAGCAGCGAACCCACCGGGAGCATCAGGCGGACTGGAAGACATGGCAGTGGCAAGGGTGGAACTGTAAATAATGGGTCTAGGAGAAAATGGGTCTCCTTGGTCAGTTTCTCCACTCTACCAAAGACCCTCTAAATAGGTAGTAGGCTGTAATCGCGTTGGTATTCAGACGTCAAACATCTTCAAGCTAGACGTCTACCAATAAAACCCAAACTGTTGAATTCACAGGATAGGCAAACTCTTCTACTCAATTTCTGTTCGATAATAACGGTATCATCACATCCTACTTGTCTCCGGACGTTAAGACAAACAATTTACAGAATCCTCTCATCTTCAAAATGCAGTAAGAACTACAGCTATTGACGTTATCCTGAGGGCGTTCGAGATCATGGGAAATTTTCACAGAGACTTCTTTGCCTGCGTCGCATTCGGCCGTCCTTCTTTTCTCGACAAAAGGAATCAGACTAATCGGAAGAACTGTCATACCATATCCTTCACGGACATTGAAGCAAAGCTTTGCTGTTTTCAGACGGTCTCCAGTTTTGTGTGGTCCAAGTACGATAAACAGTCAAACCAAACTCCACATTCGCTGTAGATACATGGACCCATTATTTACATTGCAGCGCGCTCTCGAATTCCGGCGGATCTCACGAAATATATGGTCTACTCTCTTGACTACGTCCAAGTGGCAGCAAACAGCATGATCAAAGCCCACTACAGTTCCATAAGTGCGCGAACTCTGACCAATAACAGATCGCTCTTAACTGTTCCATTTTCGGTTTGGAGTTCGACAATGATGCGTCCTGTCCAACTACACCATATCCGAACTCTCAAGATAGTTTCATGAAATTTTTGTAGGCAATTTTCATCTACAAAGCTTTTTATTGAGGGCAGTGGCGTCTTCCGGGGCTAATAGTTGTCAATTTAGAGAAGACAGTTCGAAGTGTTCCGCAGCAAATATAGTGGGGACGGGACCAAGCACAAGTCTAAAGCGATGTAACCGCACGATTTTCGCATGCATTCGAGGTTGTTAAGCACCCAGCGTAATTGCTTTGCCGCCAGCAGGACCACACTGTCAGTCTAGAGGTATTCCGAAGTGTTCCAAGGCAAACCAGTTGGTTGTCACTGAAGACGCCTCAGTAAGACGGAGTCTGCCGGGAGCATTTGATAGTAAGAGAACGCCTCAAGTCCGCACCGCGATTTCTCTTCTCGACAGCACGCGACCTGGGCTGTATCAGGAAC